TTCACACCTAAAAAAAAATTAAAATAAAAAAATCTTTAAATTAAAATAAAAGTCACTGATTGGCCAGAACCTGTTGTAATGGCSTGTTGTGATTGGTGGGGATGTACCAGCCACTTTCAGTTTTCCAGTTTGAAAAATGCAACTGCCAGATGCCAGGGTCACAGAGGCAGCAKATGAGTGTCAGAAAATCTGTTTCATTGAAATGCGCCAGGCCTCGTAATTCAAGATCATTGGCTCCGAAACAGGATGTGATGTCGTTTTTCTGGTCAGCTGACGCTCGCTGAGCGAGGGAACAATGGCAACAATACAGTCCGCACGTGCTCCATTGTTCYGGTGAAACTGAGCCGTACGGCTTTTCCCTTGGGGTTTCCTTCCGTTCCCCATCTGCCTTTGTTGTCTTTGATTTGTAGACAGCATGTGGCTCCAACGGTGTTTGGAAAATGTGAGGACCCCTGGCTTTGTTATTATTTAAACCAACTCAGGCGCTCACTGGTAATAAAAACTATATCCAGATTGTGATGTGTGGGACTTGTATCATAAAAACAGAATAAAAAAGTGCACTGATTCCAAGTTTACAAAAAGGCATAATTTCACATAAATGAGTGGCATTTAAAATAAACAAATAAATAAATAAATAAATAAATAAATACAATATTCTGAATTTTTCTTAAACCTCCCAACCCAACAAGTACGTATTAAAATTCTGTTCAGCTTTTAGTTAGGGGCCAAAACATCATCAGAAAGCATGTGTTGATCTAGATAATTTGTTTAAATTAGACATCTTGCTTTTAAATCCTTCCTTTTCACATTTAAATCCTTCAGTTGGGGGTTTTATAAAGTGGAACTACAATCCACTGGTTTGAATTCGTTATTTTTCTAACTTCACCAACTCCTCTTTCACCATTTTTTGGTGAGTGTTTCAATGCAGCTGGTTTTAATACGGTTTCTTTGAAGTGATTCAAGCCCCGCCCCCCTCCTGCTTCCAGACCAGTCCACTCCAGTTTGAGAGAGGGGGTTACATTTTCTAGTGATGCAGAAACATTTTATTTACAATTTAATTAAAAGATGTCAACAACAGAAGACTTGTTCATTCAGTACATGTTGGAGACCAAGTCTGACCCAGAACCAGAGGAGAATAAAGACAAAGAAATTGTAGTTTGTAAATCCAGACCTTATTTGGCAATTTGACGTAATAATTCAGAAAACGTAATAGAAAAGAGAGAAAACTGAACGGGCTGAACAATCTGACCCAAACAAAATATAAAGATATCTTTGCAGCATCAGGAGACTAAATTCAACTTTTCTGCACTTCTAGAGACTCCAGGTCCACAAGAAAATGTATTTAACAGCGAAAAACTTGGATTTTGCACATGTCCCCTTTAATAGTAAAGCACCATTTTCTGTAATAGAAACTGTTCTTGCTTTGCCTGTTTTTATAAAGTTTGCTTTAAAGGACGCTAATRTTAACTGAGAAATGAGCTCCGACAAGGTGCATGCTGGGATTTGGGCATGTAAAATGTGAAGTCAGGAGAAATGCTGTGCTTGAAGTCACACGTCAAGAACATGCTCACCTGCAGTCAAAATAATAAAAAAATGTTGTAGGCAGGCAGAGAGGTACTTTGCTTTTGGAATGCTTAACTTGTTCTWATTAGAGATTGAGGATAATTTACTTTTTTCAGAGAAGTCTCCAAAGAGGCCGGTTATCTAAGGCAGTGTTTCCCATCAAGGTGGGGTCCTGAAAAGATTTTCTGAATTAATTACATTTTTGCCTTAGTTGTTACAAAGGAGTGAGGTTAATATATTTATAATGGATAAATGTAGTATAAAAAATATTGTTACTATGCCCATGTTTTGTTGACCTGATACAAATG